ACCCGAGCACGAAAAGAACGTGACTTCCCTTCGGCCCAGCAGTACTTAACACAGAACAGCTAAACAAACAGGGCGAAATGAAGGATGGCATCCAAAGCTTCTACAAAGCTGCTCGTCAAACAAATTAGCACATCCGTCTTGATTCTTCCGTTACAAATCATGTCTTCAGACCACGGTTTGGCAATGATCGCTGTGACACGTGAATTGTTGTGCTCGGCAAACTAAATGCAGCAATGGGTTCCCACATGCTTCTTCGGCAAAGGTGTCCACAGGATAAGCGGCTGCCACAGCTTCTTGGCAGCGCGCAGCGATCGATGCATCTCCTCTTGCTAAAACAATAGCACTCCACCCGAACTTGTGAGGCGTCTCGCTCTTTTGAGTTCTCGCGCACGACACTGTCTTGGGACGAGTGCACTTGCATGCCTGAGGATGCTTACCGTCGGTCCACTCGCAACAAATGGCGTATTTGTATAAAAAGTATTGGTTGAAAGAGAGACCACGTTGATCAAAGGAAGTTTAACAAGAAACTTCCGTAGTACTGGAACTAAAAAAGCTAGCTGCTTCGACGCATGGACATGACACATAGATAGCTTTCTAAAATATGGTTAGCGTGACAGATAGATAGCTTTGACATATAGCTTGCTTGACAGATAGATAGCTTTAAGATGCATGGATGCGCGAAAAAAGCTACGACGAATGCTGAAAATCAGGAGAGCTGTGGGATGGCAAGATGCAGAAAACATTGGCCCTGTGCGTGAATTGGGCTTGCGGACAGTGCGCAAACCACCTTGGTCGCGACGCCTGTACGGAGGCGGTCCCGGAACGGTCTGAGAACGGTCTCGGAACGGGTTCGGAGATGTGAGCATTGGCACGGCCGCGCGCAGGTTTCACAAGGATTGAACTGCGTGGCAGGCGAAGTACTTTGGCAAGGTCAAGTATAGATTTCGTGGCAGGCGCAGCACTTTCGCAAGGTCAAGTACAGGTTTCGTGGCAGGCGCAGCACTTTCGCAAGGTCAAGTACAGGTTTCGTGGCAGGCGCAGCACTTTCGCAAGGTCAAGTACAGGTTTCGTGGCAGGCGCAGCACTTTCGCAATGTCAAGTATAGATTTCGTGGCAAACGCAGCACTTTCGCAAGCTCAAGTATAGATTTCGTGGCAGGCGCAGCACTTTCGCAAGGTCAAGTGTGGATGTCGTGGCAGGCCATGACACATAGCTTGACACATAGATAGCTTGACAAAATATGGTTAGCGTGACAGATAGATAGGCTTGACATATAGGTTGCTTGACAGATAGAGAGCTGCAGGATGGCAAGATGCAGAAAACATTAGCTCTGTGCGTGAATTGGGCTTGCGGACAGTCCGCAAACCACCTTGGCAGGTTTCACAAGGTTTGAATTGATAGATAGATAGATAAATAAATAGATTAGATAGATAGATAGATAGATAGATGAGGTAGATAGGAAATTAGATAGGTAGAGAGAGAGAGAGATACATAGATAGAGATATAGAAAGATAGGTAGCCATATGGAATGATATACATATAGATAGATAGATAGATAGATAGATAGATAGATAGATAGATAGATAGATAGATAGATAGATAGATAGATAGATAGATAGACAGACAGATAGAGATAGATAGATAGATAGATAGATAGATAGATCGGAGGATAGAAGAGATATGGATAGATAGAGAGATAGACAGATAGGTAGATATATAGATTCAGAGCTAGAGACATAGATAGATAGATAGAGAAGATAGATAGAGATATAGATAGGTAGTTAGGTAGATAGATAGGTAGAGAAATATAGATAGATAGATAGACAGATAGATAGACAGAGAAGAGACAAAATAAAGAACAGCACAAAAACAAGCAAACAAAAGAAAGAAATAAAAGACAGATAGAAAGAAGGAAAGAAGGGAGGGAGGAAGGAAAGAAAGGAAGAAAGGAATAATGACGGAGAAAAAAGAAACAATGAAAAGGAAGAAGAAGAGAAAAAGAGTCAAGAAAAGAAAGATAAATATAACTATAGTTGATATATTTTTGAAACTTCCGGCCCCCGGCTCTGCCGGACCTTGCTTGTAACAAGAGCAGTGTTCAAACATTCAAAGGTTCAACCACGCCATAGACTAACTTTAATCCATTCCGAGATTTTGTTAACGTTGCCTCCTTGCACTTCATCTGGCATTTATGCTCACACTCCAGTTTGCGGTTGCAAGGCTTCTCGCAAAGAGTCACGCAGGGATCACAGCATCTATTCGGACAGTAGTGGCCGCAGGGCAGCTGTCGGCTGCAACGCGACCTGCATTTGGCAAGCAACTGCTTGGAGCTGGAGCTGCAGGCGCTTTTGATCCTCTTGTGCTGGGGGAACTCTGGGCAGTCAAACTCTTTGGGCACTTGGCATTCGGACTCAGGAATGCAGTCTTCGCAGCACTTCTTGGGACACACGTGACCGCATTTCAGAGTCCTCAGGCAGGCTGCATTGCAATCTTCCGAAGACTGGTGAGTGCTGCAGCAGTCTCCTGCCAGATCACATGGATGTGCCTCGTTGAAGGAGTCTGTTTTTAAAGGGGGGTCCCATTTGAAAGCAAATCCACAACATGTTGCGCGGGAGGTTAGTTCAGGACGGCTCTCATTGCAGGGTGCGCAAACCCTTGAAGACCCGAGCACGAAAAGCACATGATTTCCCTTCGGCCCAGCAGGGCTTCACAGAACAGCTAAACAAACAGGGCGAAATGAAGGATGGCGTCCAAAGCTTCTACAAAGCTGCTCGTCAAACAAGTTAGCACATCCGTCTTGATTCTTCCGTGACAAATCATGTCTTCAGACCACGGTTTGGCAATGATCGCTGTGACTGCACGATTGTTGTGCTCGCAACATAATGCAGCAAAGGTTCCACATGGCTTCTGGCAAAGGTGTCCACAGGACAGCGGGCTGCCACAGGCTTCTTGGCAGCGCGCAGCGATCGATGCATCCTCCTCATAGCACTCACCTCGAACTTGGTGAGGCGTCTCGCTCTTTTGAGTTCTCGCGCACGACACTGTCTTGGGACGAGTGCACTTGCATGCCTGAGGATGCTTAGCATCGGTCCACTCGCAACAACAAATGGCGTATTTGTACAAGAGTATTGGTTGAAAGAGAGACCACATTGATATCAAGAGCTGCGCTCAGACTGGTTCAAACATTCAAAGCTTCAAACACGGCAGAATCTAACCTTGATCCAATCAGAGATTTTGTTAACGTTGCCTCCTTGCACTTCATCTGGCATTTATGCTCACACTCCAGTTTGCGGTTGCAAGGCTTCTCGCAAAGAGTCACGCAGGGATCACAGCATCTATTCGAACAGTAGTGACCGCAGGGCAGCTGTCGGCTGCAACGCGACCAGCATTTGGCAAGCAACTGCTTGGAGCTGGAGCTGCAGGCGCTTTTGATCCTCTTGTGCTGGGGGAACTCTGGGCAGTCAAACTCTTTGGGCACTTGGCATTCGGACTCAGGAATGCAGTCTTCGCAGCACTTCTTGGGACACATGTGACCGCATCCCAGCTGGGTTGTGCAATTCTGCTTGCAGGATGCAATGATGACTTCTTTGTCTTCCCCGCACTTTCTAATGACTTTATGCTCTGAGCGCTGGCAGTCCAAAGATTCCCTGAATGGGCATGAAAGCTCTTCTGTCCGGATCCTGCACTCGACATTGTTGAACACATGAGCTGGAGACTCTTTGCAAATGTAGACCTTGTCCACGAGATGATGGCACTTGTCGCGTGCGTGTCGAGTTCCCGACTCGTCTGGGTGACAGGGAAGCTTGCAGGTATGATCATCGTTTCCACAGCCAAACGCTTTGCCGCAGACTTGCTTGCACACCACACCCACATCCGCGGCCTCCAAGGCGTACTTCTTCACCTCTGGATGTCGCGGACACCTCTGTGGGAACTGATGGCCGACGCACGCCCGTTCCTGGAGCGTGTCCAATAGCTCCTTCCAGTGCGCGGAGGTGCGCAGGCCCTGGGCATTCCCAATGAAGTAAAGACCGCATTTTGCCCGAGATTGCGCCACACACATGCGATTCTTGCCATCCTCCGTGCCAAGAAAGCCCAGCTTGTTCTTCTCGTTGGAACGAACCAGTGAAATAATCACAATCTCATTCTCCGCGCCTTGATACCTGTCAGGGTCAAGTCAACAGTTTTCAGAATTGGCTCTCCAAGAGAATGCATCGTGGGTTGTCACTCGCTTTAACACCAACTCGGCGAGCTCGCCATATAGGAAGAAAGATGTGCATCCAAGAAACAAGGCTTCACGGTCTCAGCAAGAGAATGGATGAGGGAATGGTCTGTGCAAAGTTGATTGGCTCTTGGCTGCATCGTCTGAGCTGCGGTTTGGATGCTCAGTTCAGCACATAGGAGTAACCATGTTTCATTTCATGGTTAAAAACCTAGTGTTACAGCTATATATGTGGAACAACAACTCCACAGAGATCTAGCTAAAGGATAGACGATAGAATGATTAGCGGACAAATGGAGCAAGTCAAGGAGCGGTCACTTTCAGGGCCGTTCCCTGTCTATATCTTTGTTCTTGTCTTCTTCCTCACAAGCTTGTCCAAGAGCATGACAGAGCAGAGACTTGGAATGCAAAAGTGATGCATAAGAACAGAACAGCAATACATTTCACAACAATGAAATGACAAAATTGAATCAATTCCTTAAACCTGGAGATTCCAACGCCGAGGAATTCCTAGGCGTTCTGGTTCTCAAGGCGTTTTAGGTGCTTTAGGCGGTTTAGGCGTTTTTCTTGCGTTTTTTTTGCGGGTGTTTGCCCCTTTTTTGCCGGCGTTTTGCGGGCGTTGCCTGTTTCTAGGTGCTTGCGATCGTTTGCGTCCAAAACAGGGTCAATGCCGAGAATGACTAGGAAGTCCTTGACGTTTGAATCTCCAGGAAACATGATATGTTTATGACGGTAACACACACAAAACATAAATAAACCAACAAAGCGTAACATGAACTACACACTGAAAGAACATATCTGATAATAGTAGCAAATAAGGATATGCTGCAAATAAGACATGAACATAGTGTTCTGCTTATTGTTTGAAAACAAACATTGTCGCACAATTTAGTAATTCGATGCGGTGGATTGTTGTTCTGATATTGTTATCTTAAGTTGTCTTCCTCTTTCATTATCTTATTCCCGGTTCTTCAGTGTCATTGTCTTGCTCAATATCTCACCTACAACCCTGCCAAGCATGGATACCGCCATCCATTTTGCAAAATGCCCCAGATCTCGCCGGGAAGCGCTTCGCGCGGCCGCTCGCGAAGTGAAGCGGGATCGAAATCCCGCCTATCGATTGTGCTCACCTCCGGCATCTCGTTGGGCTGCAGCTCCTCTGGTTGCAGCAGGACCTGCCGCCATCGTTGCCGCCACTTGTAGGGAAGCAGTATTTTTGGGGGGTCCTGCAGCGGTTTTCAGGGAAACCAAAAAGAAAACCACAACTTGTGGGTTCCCCTATTTTCCCGCGCACACGCACACACAAACACGCATCTATTGGAAGACGTGTCCAAAATTCGGGAGGGGGATCTAACTTTGGAATGAATGCAAGGGGAAGCCCAAATGAAACCAAACAACTTGTTTAAGTTCAGGCGCGCCTATTTGGGGAAACAGCCTCATGTTTAAACCACACCCTGGCCACAATGAAATCGAATTGGGGACCCTTTCGGCGCATCACATACCTGCGGCCACTAACCATTTTTGGGTGGTGGCCATAAAACAAATCATAGTCAAATTGCAACTCATGAATCTACCCCTAAAAGCTCATCATAATTTGTGCAAACGATGGTTCCAACATCCTCGTGGTGAGGTGCCGAAATGGCGACCAATTTGGGACCCCCCTATCGTGACCACCTGACACCTCAGTTTGGTCTCTGTAATCAACCCAGAGGGATCGAGAAAGTTGGCGTCGGGGCCAGAGATCCAGAAGATTCCCATGCAATCTAGGCAAAGGAATCTCCTTCATGACCCCAACTGTCAAAAGGGTCATAACCGCAACTTGGTATTGAAGGCATCTACCCGAAATCGGTTGTGGAAAACAAAGGACTTCTTGTTGCACCTACACGGTGGGGACAGCATCCGCTAAACTTCATCTACTCCAGTGTTGGTTGTGGCTCAAAGCAGTCCCTTCAAAATCGCAGTGATCAAGGGAAGTAACCATGCGCCCCTGAGGAGTGGTCGCAATTGTATGTTCCACTTAAAACGGGGGGGGGGGGGGGCGCGAGCACCAACCTATGTATATATATATATATATATGTATTATGGCGATTAACCTGGGCCACGCTTTTTAACGACCTGGGAATCGGGTGCCGCCCCTGCCTGCACCATCTGCACCTTTCCGTCTGCTCTGCTGTTGTCATTTGTGCCTTTGGCCACATATCTTCCTGCGTGAGGGCAGTTTCAGGCCCCACCTGGGACCCAAAGACCCGCACAAGTCACCAGTGTTTGGTGTGGCTCTAATCAGGCCTATTAGCAAGGGTCTTTGGAGGGTGGTCGGCAAAAAATCAACTGGCGCAGTCCCTGACAGCCTTTACTTGCTTGCCGGCCATGCAACTGCGTCTGCCAATTACTCGACTCAAATAGTCCAGGTGTTGAACGACATGTCAGTCATATAAGCAAGATTAAGCAAGTATTGTGCCCAATGACATTGGATTGTGGCGAATGACGTCCTTTTCCTAAAGGAAATTCGGTGAATGTGACCCATACAAACCCCCAACTACGGGAAATTAATTGCAAATATTGACCTTTGCTCATACGTTGGCTGCAAGGCTTTACATTGGTATTTTGCCTGGGTGCCTCGGAACGACGCTAACCGTGCAGTTGCTGCAAATGCCTTTGGCGAGTCCAAGGCCTGCTTTCACCATTCCTCCGCTCGTGCTCACCACCCTTCCTTCACTGATGATCCGATCCTCACTGTGGCCATGGTGAGAAAAAACATTTTTGGCTAAGGCCCACGGAAAGCTTGAAACTCTGTTGCGAGCTTGTTGTTCTTGAGCCACGCCCGAAAAACACTAGGCAGCTCGGCTTCTGTGACGTCAACCCGGTTGCCGCGTTTCAGGAGGCTGCTATCAATCCTCAGATGTGCCAAGGAGATGCCTTCATAAGGCTGCTGCCCCATTATGACAAGGGAAGTCCACAGACTGCACAACAAACCACGGTCATGCGACTTCCGCTTTCAAACCAGAATGTGCTTGTTTGACTAAACTCACCTTGGGCCGATGAAAAAACAATTGTCAAAGCATGGGTGGTTGTTGTGGGTCCGATGGAAGTGACATTCCGCACTGCTGCTAACACAGGCGAAACGGGCCCACAACATGGGTCAGGCTGTTTTTTGTTCGGGTTCGCTTTCCCAAAAACATCGCGAAGGCTTCTTCCGTGCGGAGCCCTTGAATCAACTTGCGCAGAGCAACTTGCACAAAGCAACTTGCACAGAAAAGCTTGCCCAGAACACAACTTGCGTA